TTGGACGTTTATTAGAAAGAGCTTACACTTGTTATCAATACCTTAAGATTCGAGGACGAGGTCAACTACGATGACGAGATTTAACATAAGGTTTTTTCGCCTCTTCTAAAAAATGGACACCGCGGCAGGAAAGCTTTATTGTACTTTTTGTTTCACCAGAAAAGTAAGCAAGGTTATGTTTATTAAAGGAGGTTAAGCCCTCTCCCGATCGTAAAATGATAACTTGTTTCCACCACTACGACATTCTTGCGACAAAACTCGTAGTAGAATGACGACGGCTTTCTCGTTTTCCCGCCAAAATGACGCTGGTTGAGCCGTGTGCAGTACTTAGTATTACGGACCTTAAGCAACTACGACGACAACGGCAGTGAAAACTTGGCTAAAAAATGAATTTGCGTTCTTTCAAACTTAATCAAGTCTATTTGGACCCGCTCAATTTGTCAAATGCAGGAGACGTTTCCAGGAGTTGAATTCTTAAGGATTTTATTCGGGATCAAAAAGAGGAAGCAAAATTCGTCGTCGTATGTCCACGTCCTCCATGCATAAAACGTCAAATTAAGAGGTTTCACGTCGTAATCGTGCAGTGAAAGTAAAAAAGAATTGTACTAAAAAGCGTGGTGCACGTGCAGAGCTGTTGTTCTGATCATTAAACCTATTTTTTTTTTACGTTGTTGTCGTCGTCGTCGTCGTAGTTGCTTAAGCTCCCTCAGTATTGTAACAATCTCGTTCTCTTAGTCATCCTTGTCTTACCATCTAAAGGTCTCTAATTGTATGCAACTGAATCCAGGCTCTTATCTCATCCATAACCAGTTACAAAAATGTCGAGACACTCCGAAGGAAATCCGGCCCTGTTTACTTAAAATCGAAACAAGAACCAAGGTGTTCGATCTCCTTTTCTTCGCCCTACTTAGTGTCTGATAAATTGACTTCTAAGGGTGCGCGTTCCGTTGATCGTGTTCCGGAATAAAAAATTAAGCTATAAAAATCCATTGTATTGCGATAACGAAAAATCTCCTTGAAATAAATATTATTATTATTATCCAGTCAAAATATTTTTCTGTTTCTGATTGGCTAAAATCCCATGCACAATTCATTGCCCCCGCTGGGCGAAATCCCGAGGAGACATGCTTGTAGCTGCGCGTGTATGTAGAAAAGTACTTACAGTTGAAATATGCAGTCAGCCACTAAAGAAAAAATCTCGATTTGCTTGATCAGGGGCCAGATGGAGTCGTTGAGTAATAAAATGATGACATTCGTTTATTCACGCCCCCAAGCAAGAGATTTCTTAGGGTGACGTAAAACAGATTATCGCGCAGAATGGCTGTTGTTCTCGGGACATTGTACTTACAGTCGAGCTAGAAGCATAGCTGGAGCGTGAACTGAATCGCTCTTGTTGCGTGAACTGAATCGCTCCACGATTGGCATCGTGTCAATATGGATTGCCTTAAAACTATGCTTAAACATATCTTGGCATCTGGTGTTATATAAATCCTTGCAGTTTATCTGATTTAAATATCCTAGTAGTGCAAAGAGTTCTTAACGATCTTGAGCGTCCTTCTGTTAAGTTTCTCCAGCTTGTCTTTATTTCGAGCCGCACAGAAGAGCCAAACCGAACAATTTCTTAAGTTTGGTACCATGAAAGCCTTACAGAATTTAACGTCGCTCCATAAAAGTGCACGTGGATTATACGAACAAACGAACCGCCTATAAATGAAGTTGACAAGTGCGTGATTTATTTTCACTGATTAAAACAACTTAGCTTTTATGCTGTGCCATAACAATTCAGTTTTCCAAGAGTGTCGTATATATCCTTGGTTGTCTCTCCCTGCATCACCATGCACGCGCTGTATCACTGAAAGCTTTGTTTTGTCAGTGAGGAGACCGCTGTCCTCACGCCATTCATAGTCATTCGCATCACAGTTACAACCAAAACAAGGATTTGCGCATGAGTTGTTCATTCCGCATGCGCAGTTACCATTCAAACGCCTAGGCCGAGGTCTCGATTTCAACAGTGACTACATCCCAGAGTCTTATCGTTTCAACTGTGGCGACTTTCTTGGAGTTGCTATTGGAGAGGCTGTCTCAGCAATCTCGTCCCTAGGCTCTCTCTTCTCTTCATAGCCAATAACATCACGGCTTAACCTACAGACAATCAACACCGTCGCGGCTTAATTGACCAATAGGGCCAAAAGCCAGAGTTTACTACCATTAACAGACGCGATAGAACTTACTTTGACTCTGAAGATTGAAACGTCAGTCACTGTAAACAACAGTCCTATCTTCAGGACTACGTTCATCCGGACAACATCAACATACTTTTGATCATGATAAATATAATAATATCGATAGTGCCCAAAACTAAAAGCGCAATGGCGCCTTACAAACAGCATTAAATACGTAAGGGAAATAAACAAACAAAAAAACAGAAAACACAGAAAGCACCAAATACAATCACGGAAAAAATTTATTGTTAATATTTAAGTAGAAGTCCTTTGCTTAAAGAGGTGCGTTTTGAAAAAGAGATTTAAAAAAGGTCTATTGTACTAGCTTGTCTGATATTATCTAATTATTAAGAGAGGTACACATTATGGGGGAGAGACCCCTCTAATTCATATTACGTTCGATCACTTGAATGCTCCATAGAGGAGATTTTATTTTTACCTAACAGTTCTACATATGACGTTTACTTATCAGACACAAACTGGCTTTACGGAGCCACTTACGGCGATGTGCAACCTAATGGTTTGTCTCAAGCACTCATAAGATGTTCAACCGAGTAGCTCATAGCATCTGGGCTACCCAGCTAGCAAGCCATGATATATAGAAACAGAAACAACAAAACTATGATGGTTGTATACGTACTAGAATACGTGCGCAACGCGTCCTCATAGTACAAATCAGGTAGACCAGCTTATTCAGCCACCGCTATTCAAACTTGGAAATGTTAATTATATCGCTACTCAAAAGTCTTTATCCTTGTTTCCCCACTTAAACCAAAGTTAAACACGTTTCTAAACATCTACTTTTAATTCAAAATAAGTTCCTTATCAACACTGCTATTGTTTCTCGTCGACTGCAAGTTAGCCTAAAACGATACTGAAATAAAAAAGGAACATCAATAAACAATAAACAATAAAAACATGAAGTTAATACTGACTTGAAGTATATGCAGAAGTCAGCTTTTATCTCCTGTTACTGAGTTTTGTGTTATTAAACTTTTTAACCTTTAATGTGACTTAAGTGTCCCGGAGGAAGATACGTCCTTATAAGGGGCTAATGGGGATGTGACGCTGGATGGGGTTGCATTTTCACGACTGTTTTGACTATAATGGGATTGCATTTTCAATAAGGTTACTAGAATAGGGGCTGAGAAAGTTCTTCATTTTTACGGTTAGAAAACGTACCAGAATGTTTGTATTGTAGGTGAAAAGTAAAGAGTTCTTCATTCAATTTAAAAACTGGGTCAATTCATTTTAGGATGACCTATTTTCAAAAAGGATTGATAAGGATTGATACATAAATAGAGAGTAACTAAGTTGGGATCGCCAAAATTACGTTTGCCCAAAAGTGACTAAGATGGGGTCTATAATTGGCCACAGAATAGACTATACTACTCTGAGAGGCCAGCGGCACTTACTCAAAATTAACCCAAGTACCCCCCGGGTTAAGTGTAGGATGCGAGCTTCAATATATCTAAATACATTTTACTAGAAGTTAGTCTTCGTCTCTATAACACATGTACTTATAAATCTATAACTCAGTCAACCTGGCCATAAAAAGGCGAAAACTTGCGAAGTCTGTTGCTGGTGTTCTTTCTTATCATGTGTAACTTTAAAGCACAGAAAACTATAACCCTAGTTACTGGTATGTTAATAATCTTGTGTAAAGTGACAAGTTTTTCCTTGATGAAAGAAACCAGTTATCAAATATTAACTTCAACCCTTCTTTTCTTAACGAAGCTGGTTAATAAAAAGAAAAAAAATACAAGTTTTATGTACGATAAAGCACGTGCGCGGTGTAGCTAGGTTCAGACACAACTTCTCTTTAATTGGTTTAATTTCTTTTCACAGCGTCAAAGCTGTGATTTCCCTGCACTTTTCTAGTCTTTCCTTTTTTATTTGCATGCTTGGCCAAGAAAGTTAGCTAAGCAAAACACCGTTTTTCATAAAACAACCGGAACTGTCGGCTCTATCATTCGGTTCCGTAATGTGAATCATACATGTCGCAACACACACACGCAAAAATATTCTCCCTTAGCTATGTATAGTATGTGTGGCGCCAAAGAGAATAGTCTTGAATCCTTCTGCTCTGAAGTTATATTTTAAGCACTAGGGTCTCAAACAGAGTAAAGTTTTGTTTTCACTTGAGAACAGCGAATCAGTTAGGAAATAGGGTAGAAAAAAATCACATATTTTGGTCCCGGGGGGTACTCCTCTATATAGGCTATGCAGGTATGTGCCGCCCGATCGGGTAGGGTTTTTGCGCCGTTTTGGTCTGAAAACGGGTATGGTTTTTGAGGGAACTACGGGAGTGTATGAACGAATTATCGTTTCAATTCCAAATGAGTAAGAAAGAAAGAGAAATATGCGAATTTGAAATGGCTTGGAAGACTTTTTGTTTGCACTCTAATTTAAGTAATGATAACATAATTTCTGCCTAAAGGCCAGGTCTGAAAACGGGTGTGGATTTTAGAGATCTAGTCTGAAAACGGGTGTGGAAAATTACATTTTTTGTTCTGAAGTAGGGTCAGGATTTGGAGAACTGGGTCGCACACTTCCACCAGGAATTCCCAGGAGTACCCCCATTTGGGATATTAGTCTGAGATAGGATCAAGGTTTCGGGAAGCATGCCGAACTGTCAAGGAAAACCCCCTCCTAAAGAGTGCTCCGGATGGTCATCTAACATGTGCTTTGTTTGTCAAGAGTAGCTATTAAGAGTCCGAAAGCTTGTAAATTATTCTTGTAAAGGTTTTGTTGAAATGACCCTGAACAGCACTTGCTCTAGCCGTGCTCCTTACGACCACCATTATCACCAAAAAAGAGCTGTTTTACTGGAAGCTTTGTCTTGTCAGTGAGAAGACCGCTGTCTTCAAGCCATACGAGGTCATTAGCATCACAGTTACAGCCATATTCGGGGTTTGCACACGTGTTGTTCATCCCGCATGCGCACTTACCACTGCCAGGTGATGCTCCTCCCCAGTACGTCATGTTAGAATAATCACGTGACACCCACCATCCTTGTCCAGTTCTCAGTAACCTTGAACCATAACACTCATACTTGATAAACTGCTCGCAGTATGAGGAGACACTGGTAAGACTGGCCAATTGAGTCAGACTCGCTCCAGTGTAATTAATGTTGCGTGAGTAGCATCCTGCCCCTTCACATCCTTTCACATGTGTCCTGCTCTCACTGTCGTGACTGATAACTGTCACGCCAACTCCATTCTTGTCAGTCATGTCACAATATGCTGTGAATGGCACCAGGCCTCCCTCGCCATCTGGATCAATGTCGTAATTTCCACTTGATGCTGTAGGGTCGCCGTTCTTTAAGTCACTGCATGATAAGGCTGCGGACAGAAGGTTTTAAGTTATTCATTTTATTTATTATTCTTGTGGTTAATCACTATTTCAGTGACTTTCTCGTGCTTATAATTTGTATAAGATGCTAGTATATCCCGAAACACCTCTAGAAGGGCTTTTCTAACACCGCGCTACTTTGCGGGACATTTTCTTGACGAACGAAAAGCCAGAGAATACAAGTGCTTGGTGTTAAAAGGTTACTTACGTGACTTTTAATTACAATGAACATTTCACCGACGATAACTTCAATGGAAAATAACAAATTATTAGCAAAGGTACGGCGATAAAACCGCCAGAATTGTCAAAATTTAAGCCACAGACCGTGTGGTCGCCCCGCGATTGTGCAAATAAGTTTCAAACAAATTATGTGATGTACCCGATGAAGTTTAGAGAGCAGTATTTTATGATTTACTGTGTCAAAAGCCGTTGATAGGTCAAGAATTAAACCACATGTTATTTGACCTTTATCAGTAGCTAGCTTCAGATTGTCAGTAATTTCAAGAACAGCTTGTTCACTGGAATATCCTTTCCCAAATCCAAACTGATATTTGTACAAGATTTGGTGTTTATCTATGAAATCAACGAATATAATTGATTATAGACTACACGCTTGAGCACTTTACTGAATGGTGAGAGAGTTGCTAGGGTCTGTAGCATCACCACCCTTATAATTCCAGTTTCAATAGACTGGTTATAGATATATTTTAAAGGTATTGACAGTGGCTGGGCAGCTATTTTGATTAGTTTATTAGGAAAATATAAGGATGACTTATGATCCTTTAAACATTTAGATAGTGAACATACTTGGGTTTCAGTGACACAGGACATAACAAAGTTAGCTACTGGAGTCGATCTTATGAATTGGGTCGGACGTCCTTCACAATGTTCAATTCTTTTGGCCAGGTTTTGACCCACATTAGCTCACATTGACAAAATGCTTATTAAATTGGTCAGCGATCTCATCCTTATTAGTGTAGGCTCTATTGTTACGTTTAATTTTCGTGATCAGCGCGGCCATCCGCGCATCCATGTAATATCGATCTTCTGCACTATTTTACCTGGCCGGGCCTTCTCACAGTTTTCTCCTTTGAAGCCAAAAGTGCAAACACAGAGGTATTTCTTGCTCGTATATCCTGTGAAGCATGTTCCGTTGTTAAGACAAGGATTACTGACGCAGAGGTTCTAATGGAGAATGTATGTTTTTAAAATCACATTAAAAATTATGTACCGTGCTGTGATCATGGGAGATAGAAAAAGGGATTATTTAGATCTCTCGAACCTCTCAATATTTTATTTTTGTTCCAGTGAGGTTGAAACATTTGGGATTTTTCTCGAATTGTCGATTTAGGGAGCGAAGACATATATTTTCATATCATAATTGTTATAATAATAATAATAATATTAATAATAATAATAATAATAATAATAAAACTTTAATGGCTGTCACAATTACTGGTAGATTTAGAACCAGTAGTTTATATTTTGGGCCCAATGTAATGTTATCAGTATCAGTATCGTCATCATCCATTTTTCTAGTCGATATCGTCGTCATCATCATCAGCAGCAGCATCAGCAGCAACTCATCATTGGGAACATCACCCGCCTGTTTAAAACCTTCATTTTCTCTATCGAGAAATAGCGAGACATATACAATCGGCTGCCGTTGGTTTTTCTACGTATGTTTTAAACCTAATTGTCATTGGTACCTCTGTGACGCCTCTATAACTCCAGCCCTGTCTTGGTTTAAGGTGTTGTGGGTGCTGTATGTGATCCGAATCACTAAGCTCACACAAAACTTTGTCGTTCACGGGCGGACCAATGTTTATTGACACGCATCTACTTTCCATAACACATCTGTGATGACATGGCGTGTATATTCCAATAGTAAGATTTAAAAACACGTGATGTGCCAAATAATGGCCATCGTCCGGTGGAAGGAACTTAAGGCGACGACAACCATCTGCAAAGAAATTGCATCAGGGTCTTGTTAGAATGTTATAAGTAATAGACTCTAAAAGAAAACATCGGTGGAATAGCAGATACCGACTCGATGGGATACCAAGTGACTGGAGCAACTGTTATCACATTGTTATTTTACCAAGTCAAAAGTGCTAATTGTTAAAGTCATTGTGAATATCCCCCCAGTCTTTGACTGTCGATAGAGTGCCGCGAAGAACATGCTGATTTCAGAAAGGTTGGGGCTGCAAAGAGCATATCAAAACCTTGAGGAACTACATGGAGCATGTCATCTGAATGGCAGGGAGGATTGTATGTCAGGTTCATCGATTTCCACCGTTTGATAGCATGCACACAGAAAGCTTATGGATTATTCGCCGGATATATCGCATACTTAAGCACATTGTCCGAGTGATTAAGCAAATATTCTATGAAAAGAAGAAAGAAAAAGAAGAAATCCTCGCCGGCGAAGATTTTCCATCGAGACTCCTCTGGAGAACGCCGTTTAAAATTCATGATGCGATAGTGTGTGACATGTGTTACCATGTGAGGAAAATGAATTATTTTCCCCGTAAGGGACAATTTAACAAGTCAAGAAATTTCACAAGTAATTATTATTACACTTATTATTAAAGATGGCATGGGTTAGCTGCATATTTGCCTGCAGTTATTCACTATCGCACCCATTTCCTTTTGACCATAGTCTATACTTACACATGTAGAAGGGTCAAATAGGTTGAACACGGGACCTATGAAACATTGGCTACCTTTCCTTAACAACACCAACCCCATTTAAATCCCAGAAAATCCTTTTTAACGACAGAGCACTGGATTCAAATTTACTGCAACCAAAAGAAGATTAACTAGATCTCACCTTCCAATATTTATAGAGCCAGTGTTGAAACCCCCCCTCCCAAGCTACACAACTTATTCCAATTCTGTCCCCCCCCCTTCCATTCCTGACATTTTATGGGCCTTCCGCTTCCGAGCTTCGCGAGTTTCAACGATACACGTATTCCTAGTTTTTGATGAGTTGAAAGGGAGTGCATATTCCAAAAGTAAGATTCAAAACACGTTCTCTCCCAAATAATGACCATCGTGTGGTGTAACAAACTTTAGTCGTCGACAACCATCTACGAAACAATAATTAATATGTCAATACGACATTCTTTTGATACCCTATAGGTCCAGACTTGACTTTAAATTCCGCTTTGTTGTGTCTAGCATATCACAGTTCAATTTCGTTCCTACTGATAACTTGTTTCCGCAACTACGACATTCTTGCTAAAACTTGTAGTAGAATGACGACGGTTACCACAGCCCTTTGAAACTTGCGACTGCCGGCAATGTACAAGGCATCCAAGTTTAGTCTCTAAATAATTTACATTCATCTCTAATACTCGATCCTTCTACTTATAAACAAAATGATAACATTTTGCAATAAAAGTCATTGTTGGATCCAAAAACATATGCTGATAGCGAAAAAAAAAATTTTTTCACCCGAATTCGTAGCAGCGATCAAAACAGAACGTCCATAAATAAAGTGACTGAATTTCTTCCAGCCTTTCTTTTCGCGACTGCTTTTAAAGAGGCCTACATAGAAAAAAACGAAAAGAAAAAACACCGCGGTGCATATGATCTTTCACTTGTTAAATCTGAACCGCTCAAATATTCTAGGGTTTTTATTACAGATGTACTTTATATGTAATATATCAAACATGAGACGCAGTGTTTCATCACCAGATGAAACACCGAGAAGAGAGTTGAAAATACGACGCGCAGCGGAGTATTTTTGACGAACTTCGAGGTGTTTCATCTGGTGATGAAACACTGTGTCGAATGTTTGATATTTCTTCTCAAACAAAATCATTTTTGAAGGAGAAATTAAGGATGCAAATACTGAGCAGTTTTTCATCCGATTTCCAAACACTCATTAAACATTAATTTTCTTTGTATTTTCTTTATGAATTATTAATGAGTTTGAGAAATTAAAATTAAAATTTACCCAGATCGAGCGACAAGTACTCACCTTTGATTTTCTACCGAGATCAGGTCATTTAAAACCTGGTTGATAAGACTGGTAAAAACTGGCTTTAAAACTGTAGAAACAAATCTACCTTTTAAGGTAGATTTGATTGACTTCGACAAATTTAAAAATTTGTCGAAGTAAATCAATAAACGCGATATTTGGGGTTTATCAAATGCATAACCAACTTCCTGCTACACCAGATAAATCTCTCCACCCTGTTAATTAACTGTTACATTCTGTTTGAGGACGAAAATATAATATTATCCGGGCGCGTTTTCATGTAAACGTTTTTTGACAGGAATAGGGTGTAATTTGACAAGAATAAGGATCATCGTTATAGCTTCCTTTAGTTCATTTTTCCTTTCGACTACCTACTATTACTACCTTGATGTGCAATCGCGATGTAGTTCAGCAGAGTACCCCAAACCAAAAATGCCAAAAGGAGAGTTAGCACAGACAAACGACAGGCTGACATACTGAAGGCCAAGAAAAAACATTCCCGAGTTTATCAGATTTTGCAGGTCTTGGCATGGATGTCACCGTTCGTCAGACTCCCTGAGCGATCCCGCATAAAACTGAACGCCGACTGGGAAGAAAGAAAGTCAGGACCCTAAATTTATTGAGAATAAACAGGATAGGTCCCTATCCTCGTTTAGTATTAATCTGATGTTACTTTTCACAATGAAGGAATATTAATCTTTGAGTGACGTCATGCTGTGGTGAGGGTTATTGGCTGTTTTATTGTCTTATAAGGACCAATCAGTAAAGAGTGGGTGATAGCCGACACAGACAAACGTAGCCCACCATACTGGGGAGCGCTCCCTTAATTAGATTTTGCAGGGCTTGGTAGATACTGTTCATCAAACTCGTTCGGTCGTATTTAACAGAATGGTATGGGGTCAGCTCAGGGGAGAATAAGCACTGAGGATAGGATCCTAACCCCTTTTGGTATAAGTTTGATGTTTTTTCAATGAAATATTAATAACTGATTGACGTCATGCTGTGGCGAAGGGTATTTCGGCTGCAGCTGAATGAGGAAGAACTGCTGCTGTTTTGTTGACTTTAGGACCAATTTAAGACAATAGTGGAAGAGTCTGGTGTTCAAGCAAAGTCGGCAATTAGAAAAACACCGAAAACGATAATAATTTAGAAAGATAGACACAGTTCATCAAACTCTTTCGGTCATATTTAACAGAATGGTATGGAGTACACTCAGTAGAGAATAAGCACTGATGATAGGATCCTAACCCCTTTTGGTATAAGTTTGATGTTTTTTCAATGAAGAAATATTAATAACTGATTGACGTCAAGCTGTGGCGAAGGGTATTTCGGCTGCAGCTGAATGAGGAAGAACTGCTGCTGTTTTGTTGACTTTAGGACCAATTTAAGACAATTGTGGATGGGTCTGGTGTTCAAGCGAAGTCGGCAATTAGAAAAACAAAGAAAACGATAATAATTTAGAAAGATAGACACAGTTCATCAAACTCTTTCGGTCATATTTAACAGAATGGTATGGAGTACACTCAGTAGAGAATAAGCACTGAGGATAACGATAATAATTCAGAGAGTCTATTGAGGAGTCTTCGATATTTGGGCTGTAAAAGATGAGGTCGTCTCAAAACCTACCTTTCTTAATTAAACAGTATATTTTGGATTAATAATTAAAATGAAAAAATTTGTTTTGAAACCTTTATTAATTGTTGCTCAGCATAATTCGTAAATGCTTAACACTCATCTTTTTTTTTTTAATTTCTTCTAACCTGCATGGTAAACATCATCTTCTTCTTCCTGTGAAAACTCCAGTTTCGACCAGTTCTGTGAGACAACCGATGAATTTCCCGCCACGATTCTATCCATATGCAATGAAAAGTGTGCACTACTCAATTTTTAATTGAACCATGCTAACCTGCGAGCTTATGTTTTTATGATGTTGGTAAAGTTTTCATTTCTCAGCCTCAAGGCAGAGAAGGTCTGCAGTTTGAAAAATGAGACATAGAGTAAAGGGTATTTCGTTTAATTGTTTGATTAGACGTTTATTAGAAAGAGGTTACACTTGTTATAAATACGGTAACGTTAAGATTCGAGGACGAGGTCAACTACAATGACGAGATTTAACATAAGGTTTTGTCGCCTCTTCTAAAAAATGGTACCCTGAGTGCCAGAGACTTTTCTAGCGCGGTTTCCGGTTTGTGTCAAGTCTTAATAGTGACCCGCGGCTTCGGCCTACGGCCGAAGATGTGTCGGCCTTCCGGCAACACCGAAAATTCCCGCGGCACGCGAGAAAAACCCCTGGTACCCAGGGTAAAAAAAATGGACACCCCGGCAGGAAAGCTTTATTGTACTTTTTGTTTCACCAGAAAAGTAAGCAAGGTTATGTTTATTAACCCTTTAAGCCCCAAGAGTGACCAACATCAAATTTCTCCTTACGATATCAGTACATAATCAGAAGAAAAGGTTATGAGAATTATTAAAATGATCACCTAAGGGAAAATGCTTTGATCTTTTATAAAATTCTCTCAACTAATTCTTTATGGAAATGTATAGAGACCAGTTTGGAGAATTTGTACGTGGATATTGGGGCTTAAAGGGTTAAAGGAGGTTAAGCCCTCTCCCGATCGCAAAATGATAATAGACGTCCAACTTTTGATAACTTGTTTCCACCACTGCGACATTCTTGCGACAAAACTCGTAGTAGAATGACGACGGCTTCCTCGTTTTCCCGCCAAAATGACGCTGGTTCAGCCGTGTGCAGTACTTAGTATTAGGGACGTTAAGCAACTACGACGACAACGGCAGTGAAAACTTGGCTAAAAAATGAATTTGCGTTCTTTCAAACTTAATCAAGTCTATTTGGACCCGCTCAATTTGTCAAATGCAGGCGACGTTTCCTGGAGTTGAATTCTTAAGGATTTTATTCAGGATCAAAAAGAGCATGGAAAATTCATCGTCGTATGTCCACGTCTTCCATAAAACGTCAAATTAAGAGGTTTCACGTCGTAATCGTGCAGTGGAAGTCAAAACAATTGTACTAAAAAGCGTGATGCACGTGCAGAGCTGTCGGTTTTGATCATTAAACCTATTTTTTTTTGACGTTGTTGTCGTGGTCGTCGTCGTAGTTGCTTAAGCTCCCTCAGTATTGTAACAATCTCGTTCTCTTAGTCATCCTTGTCTTAGCATCTAAAGGTCTCTAATAGTATGCAACTGAATCCAGACCCTTATTTTATCCATAACCAGTTACAAAAATGTCGAGACACTCCGACGGAAATCCGGCAAAGTTTACTTAAAATCGAAACAAGAACCAAGGTGTTCGATCTCCTTTTCTTCGCCCTATTTATTGAGCTATAAAAGCTATAAAAATCCATTGTATTGCAATAACGAAAAATCTCCTTGAAATAAATACTATTATTATTATCCAGTCAAAATATTTTTCCGTTTCCGATTGGCTAAATCCCATGCACAATTCATTGCCCCCCTCCTGGGCGAAATCCCGAGGAGACATGTATATGTAGAAAAGTACTTACAGTTGAAATATGCAGTCAGCAACTAAAGAAAAAATCTCGATTTGCTTGATCGGGGGCCACATGGAGTCGTTGAGTAATAAAATGATGACATTTCATTTGTTCACGCGCCCAAGCAAGAGATTTCTTAGGATCACGTAAAACAGATTATGGCGCAGAATGGCTGTTGTTCTCGGGACATTGTACTTACAGTCGAGTTAGAAGCATAGGTGGAGCGTGAACTGAATCGCTCTCATTGGTCGAAGTCTGCGCGGCCTTTCCTTTGTAGGGATATTACTGCCTTGCAAAAAAGCAAAGGCCATGCGAGCTTTTGTTTATTCCTTTATTTCCAAATATCTCACCTTTAGCAGCGCGTCCTTATGAGCGTGACCACGCAAATGTAGAAGTCTTTAAAGGCCAGGAAATATGTTTTCCCATTAACTGCAACAGGCAGCATGTCGTTTAAACCGGTAGACGATCGTTTGTTGTATTCATCATTTGATACATTCCACCTAGACATTTTGGCATCGTGTCAGTATGGACTGCCTTAAAACTATGCTTGAACATATCTTGGCATCTGGTGCTATATAAATCCGTACAGTTTATCTCATTTAAATATCCTTGTAGTGCAAAGCGTTCTCGTTAGCAACGATCTTGAGCGCCCTTCTGTTAAGTTTCTCCAGCTTGTCCTTATTTCGAGCCCCACAGAAGTGCCAAACCGCCAAACAATTTCTAAAGTTTAAATTTGGTACCATGAAAGCATTATAGAATTTAACGTCCATAAAAGTGAATTAAACAAACAAACCGCTTATTAATGAAGTTGACAACTACGTGATTTATTTTCACTGATTCAAACAACTTAGCTTTCATGCTGTGTCTTAATAATTCAGTTTTCCAAGAGCCTGATATCCTTGGTTGTCTTTCCCTGCATCACCATGCCCGAGCTGTGTCACTGGAAGCTTTGTTTTGTCAGTGAGGAGACCGCTGTCCTCACGCCATTCATAGTCATTCGCATCACAGTTACAACCAAAACAAGGATTTGCGCATGAGTTGTTCATTCAGCATGCGCACTTACCATTAAGAGATGCTCAGTCATCTGCGCCTAAGCCGAGGTTTCGATTTCAACAGTGACCTCGTCCCATAGTCTTATCGTTTCAAATGTGGCGGCTATTGGAGTTACTATTGGAGAGGCTGTCTCAGCAATCTCGTCCGTAGGCTCTCTCTTCTCTTCATAGCCAATAACATCACGGCTTAACTGACAGACAACTAATACCGTCGCGGCTTAATTGACCAACAGGGTCAAAAGCCAGAGTTTACTACCATTAACTGACGCGATAGAACTTACTTTGACTCTGAAGATGACTACGGCATTGAAACGTCAGTCACTGTAAACAACAGTCCTATATCTTCAGGACTACGTTCATCCGGACTATCGTGATCACATACTTTTGACCATGATAAATATAATAATATTGATGGTGTCAAAAACCAAAAGCTCAATGGCGCCTTAGAAACAGAATTAAATACATAAGGGAAATAAAGAAACAAACAAACAAACAAACAAAAAACAGAAAGCACAAAATACAATCACGGAAAAACTTTATTGTTAATATTTAAGTAGAAGTACTTTGCTTAAAGAGGTGCGTTTTGAAAAAGAGATTTAAAAAAGGTCTAGTGTACTAGCTTGTCTGATATTATCTAATTAAGAGAGGTCCACATTATGGGGGAGAGACCCCTCGAATTCATATTACGTTCGATCACTTGAATGCTCCCTATAGAGGAGATTTTATTTTTACCTAATAGTTCTACATATGACACAAACTGGTTTTGCGGAGCCACTTACGGCGATGAGCAACCTGATGGTTTGTATCAAGCACTCATAAGATGTTCAACCGAGTAGGTCATAGCATTTGGGCTACCCAGCTAGCAAGCCATGATATATAGAAACGGAAACAACAAAACTATGATGGTTTTAGTATACGTACTAGAATACTTGCGCAACGCGTCCTGATAGTAAAAATCAGGCAGATCAGCTTATTCGGCCACTGCTATTCAAATTCGGAAATGTTAATCATATGGCTACTCAAAAGTCTTTATCCTGCTTGTTTACCCTTTTAAACATCTACTTTTAATTCAAAATAAGTTCCTTATCAACACTGCTATTGATTTTCGTCGACTGCAAGTTAGCCTAAAACGATACTAATATAAAAAAAAGAACATCAATAAACAATAAAAACATGAAGTCAATACTGACTTGAACTATATGCCGAAGTCAGCTTTTATCTCCTGTTACTGAGTTTTGTGTTATTAAACTTTTTTATAACCTTTAATGTGACTTAAGTGTCCCGGAGGAGGATACGTCCTTATAAGGGGCTAATGGGGTTGTGCCGCTGGATGGGGTTGCATTTTCACGTCTGGATTGACCATAATGGGATTGCATTTTCAATAAGGTTACTAGAATGGGGGCTGAGAAAGTTCTTCATATTTACGGTTAGAAAACGTACCAGAATGTTTGTATTGTAGTTGAAAAGTAAAGAGTTCTTCATTCAATTTAAAAACTGGGTCAATTCATTTTAGGATGACCTATTTTCAAAAAGGATTGATAAGGATTGATACATAAATAGAGAGTGACTAAGTTGGGATCGCGAAAATTACGTTTGCCCAAAAGTGACTAAGATGAGATCTATAATCAGGCCACAGAATAGACTATAATTGGGTAGGGGCTCTGAGAGGCCAGCGGTACATACTGAAAATTAACCAAAGTATCCCCCGGGTTAAGTGTACGATGCGCGCTTCAATATATTTAAATACATTTTACTTGAAGTTAGTCTGCGTCTCTATAACACATGTACTTATAAGTCTATAACTCAGTCAACCTGGCCTTAAAAAGGCGAAAACATGCGAAGACTGGTACTGGTATTCTTTCTTATCATATGTAAATTTAAAGCACAGAAGACTATAACCTTCAGGGCGGAAAAACGTTCTGCGCAAGCTTCTGCGCATCTCTTATCGCAGGCTCAAGGCGGGCTTTTCTGTGCGTTGACAGCGTTGTGTTGACTGTGTTTGTTTGTTGCTGGAGTTCTGAGTGAAGTGCACGAGGTGCGAACGTTTGCTCCCTGTAAAGCATTTTTATTTGCCATGTTTGCTTTTTTTCGTCGCTTGAAAATTACTTTGGATTCAGAACAACCGATGTTAAAGGAAAAACAGATCATTCCGTCAGTCTGAGGTGGAATAAAAGGTTTTGAACATTTTTAAAGAGGCAAGTATTTTTTCTGATTGTGCATCCGATTAATTTATGAGTTGATTTCGCCGGGTTGAATTAAAACCCGCTTCTATTCTGTTATTAGTAGTTACGGTTAC